TGGCCACCGTGGAAGCCGTACAGGTTCATCTTGTACTTGTGGTCTGGCTCCAGGCCCGAGATGGTGACCCCGTCCTCGTGCCCCGGCACCCGCACCGCCTTGGGCTGCCCGTCCCCGTTCCTGTACTGGACCAGGAAGTGGTCAAACTGGCCCTCGGGGACCGTCCAGGACAGGCTGAAGGAATCAGGGGTGGCGTCCGTTATGGTCAGCTCCCCCAGGCGAGGCTTGATGGGGGGCTCAGGGGTCGTGGTGGGTGCTGCTTGGGTGGTCTCGGCTTCATCCTCTGGAGCTGAATAGACATGTATGAAGATAGTGAGGTCCCTGGGTCCTCAGTTCAGCACAGAAAGAATGTGTCTGGGCCAGGCACAGTGGCGCATGCCTGTAATCCCAGCACTTTGAGAAGCCAAGGTGGGCGAATCACATGATCAGGAGTTTGAAACCAGCCTGGCCAACATGGTGAAATCCTGTCCCTTCTAAAAATACAAAAAAATTAGCTGGGCATAGTGGTAGGTACCAGTAATCCCAGCTACTTGGGAGGCTGAGGCAGGAGAATAGCTTGAACCCCAGAGGTGGAGGTTCAAGTGAGCTGTGATCAAGCAGTGAGCTGAGATCTCACCACTGTACTCCATCCAGCCTGGGGAACAGACTAAGGCTCCGTCTCAAAAGAAAGAAAAAAGAAAAAAGCTGGATGGGGTTGGAAGGCCGAGATGGGTGGATCACCTGAGGTCAGGAGTTCGAGACCAGCCTGATTAACATGGAGAAACCGTGTCTCCACTAAAAATACAAAATTAGCCAGGCGTGGTGGTGGGCGCCTGTAATCCCAGCTACTAAGGAGGCTGAGGCAGGAGAAATGCTTGAGATGAGCCAGAATTGCACCACTGTACTCCAGCCTGGGCAACAAGAGTGAAACTCTATTTCAAAAAAACAAAAATAAATAAAATAAAATAAAAATAAGAAAGGATGTGTCACAAAACACAAAGTGCCCAAGAGCAGGACGATGCTGCCCACAGCGGCTCCAGCACAGCTCTCCTTCCTCCTCCCTCCTGTGGCCTTTCCTATCCCTCACCCTGACCCCCTGACCTCAGCCCCCACGTCACCCCAACTCCCAACACCCAGGCCACCTCCCCCTGTCCCTCCAGCACTGCCTCTCTTCTGAGCACAGCCCCACCCGGCCTCTGCACCCCGGGCCTCCCTGCACTGGGCTGTCCTCGCCATCTGTTGTTCACTGGCTTCTGTCTCTGCTCCCCAGCAAGCTCAGCACACCCCTCCCCAGGCCAGAGCCTGGGCATGTTCCTGGACCCAGCCCCTCACCAGCAGCCTCAGAGCCTCTCTGCCCGAGTTACCCTGGGTACCTTCCCCCACCACCTCCAGCCCCAATCCTGGTTTGGACCACTGTCACCTCTCACCAGGGCCACCAACTCCCTACTGGCCTCCCTGTCTCCAGGCTCCCCACTACCCAAACCCCATCTTCAGCCCCTACAGATGAGCTTCACACTGGCACAGCTACTGGAGTCATCTCACCACGGGCCTCGGCAACCACCTCCTCATCCCTGGGAGACACCAGGCCTGGTGAGCTGCCCCCTCCTCTGCTCCCACACTTCAGGACGATCTACCCACCCCAAAAGACACCCCACTCAATCCTCAGTGCCTCTCACATGCCATGCTCTTTCTAGCCTCTGACCTTTGCACCAGTTGTAATGATCTGACACACTTCACCTCCTCTCTAAAGCTGTCACCAAGCTAAGGCCTGCCTGGCCTCAGGTCCTGACTGTCCCCTGAGTATCCAGAGGTAGGACAGCTTAGGTATTCTTGTCTGGCCCTGGGCTTCCTGTCACATGCTCACCACCTTTGCTTTATTGCTGGTCCATAACCTGTCCCCCATGACGTTAGCCCCATTGGGACAGGAACTTATCCCATTAGGATATGAACTGTAACTCTGAGTCTAACCTCTGTGAGGATTAATAAATGCAAGAAAAATTTGCTTCAACAAATTCTAAGAGAGTTTCCAAATCTGTTATTGGGAGGAGATTTACTACAAAGGTGTTCTGTGATTTGCACATAAATATTCACAGCAGCATCATCCACGACAGCTAAGAGGTGGAAGCAACCCAAGTGGCCATCGGTGGGTGAAAGGATGGGCAGAGCGTGGTCTATATGTATAAAGGGAGCATTATTTAGCCTTCAAAGGAAGGACGTTCTGGTAAGCTGCAGTGGCTCTTGCCTATAATCCCAGCACTTTGGGAGGTCGAGGTGGGAGGATCACTTGAGACCAGGAGTTTGAGACCAGCCTGGGCAACATAATAAGACCCCATCTCTATAAAAAATAAAAAGGAAATTTTAACAGATGTTACAACATAGATGAACCTTAAAGATGTATTTAATGAAATGAACCATTCAAAAAAGACAAATATTGTATGATTCCACTTATAAGAGCTACCTGGAGTTGAGTTCATAGAGACAGACAGTAAGATGGTGTTGCCAGGCACTGGGTCAGGGGAGAATGGGGAGTGGCGTCTAACGGGCAGGAAGTTTCCGTGTGGGAGGAGCCTGGAGGTGGGTGGAGACGGTGCGCGGCGCTGTGTGTGTACCTGATGCCAGACTGTATACTGGAGAGCGATTAGAGTAGCCATTTATGTCATGTGTACTTTACTACAATAAAAAACAACAAAAAAGTGTGTTCCTTGGACCAGTGGCATCAAGATCAAGGAGAATCTTGTGAAACAGGCACTGTCTGACCCTAGGCCAAGGCTGCTGAATCCCAAACGTGTCTTTTAACAAAAATCTCCAGGCATTTGTATATGTAAAGGAAGGAATACTCTCTTTTTTTCTTTCTTTCTTTTTTTTGACAAACTTGTATTCCAAATGCTGAGGACAGGAATACTCTTGAGAATATGTTTTCATGAAGTCTGCAGAGGCAGCAGCGTCTTCTAGGGCCATCTTCCCCACCCCTCCTCACTCACACTCACTCACCTGTCATGCCCACGGCAGACACGGGGCCCACGCGCCGCCCCTCGTGGAGGCCGTACAGGTGCATCTTGTACTTGCGCCCGGGCTCCAGGCCCCCCACGGTGACCTCGCTCTCCTC